AAACGTTAAATCTGGCATAAAAGTGCTTAACAAAGTGCTTGTTTGGCCAGGTCAGGCAAACTATTTTGACATTTAGTAATAAAGTAGTTTCGTAGTGAACCATAAATAAATAATCAATTTGGATCTTGCTACATTTTATTTTACTATATGGATCACAGATACAATGCATGGTTTTATATTAATACTGCATTTTGGATGTAAGGGATAATAAATTAGTATATAAGCCTTACATTCTTTTTGAGACAAAAATACAAACCATGTATTCAAATGACTCTTAAAATTGATTCTCAACATTGAAAAAAATTCCAAGAATAAAATAAATACAAAATCAGCAGATCATCATATACATATGTATGTTGTAATAGCCCAATTAATCGATAAAATTTAAGCATCTTTAATAAAAGAGAGTTTATATTTTCTTCGTATTTAAATCAAAAATATTTTAAAATAAAATGAGGAATTCTCAATAATTTTTGAACTAAAGAGAAGAAGAAATTACAAAGAACCGAAATTTAAAGTATAAAAGGATATCGAAGTTTTTTTTCATATTTTATAGTAATTAATATGAAATTTGACCATTTTTCCTGATTTTTTTTTTTTTGAAATTCAAATAAATTAAAAGCAGAACGCTGTGGTCATAGTAACAACCAATTTGATGACCATATTCATATGCATTACCTATACGAGTACATGATATTTCCAACAAATTATTCCAAATAAAAAGGTAAATTTTACTATATTATGAAAACCTCACCGATTTATTTTTTTTTCATAAAAAAATATTTTCGAAAAGAATTCGGTATGAAATCAATTACATTTATATAAAAAAATATTGATTATTGCCAACATAGTTTTTATTTCAGACATCACATTCAAAATGAAGTAAATAATTAAGCATAAATAAATTAAGGATGAAAATTTAATATGAACGTTAACAATTTCAGAGATTTTTTGCTTTATATGTTTTTTAATCTTAATAATGAAACCTTTGCCTTTAAGATCACTTTGTATTCATATTCACTTTGATATTTGCTTGAATATAGTGAGGTCAAAGTCTGTAATTTAAAATTTTACTGCGTTAATTAAATATAATGAACCGTTTAAGAATTTTCTATGGATAAATCATAATATAAAAATTTTATTTTGAATAATATCAGCAAAAAAAAAGGTTTTTTCGTGAATTTTATAAGTTTTATTCAACCATATTTTTCGGAATCGAACCTGTTAGAAAAATTAATATTGTATTCTAAGCACGGTATGGATTTCATATAAAAATTTAAGAAAAATTTTAGAATATTTAGAAAACAAACCTGTTTATATGTCATAAATGTGTTAATTGAAACAAATTTTGGAAAGGAGATCGCAATTAGAACAAAATTAGAACCTATTCAAATGGAATAATTCCCATTTTTATATTTTACAAAAACTACCTTAAAATTTGTCTGAAAATTATTGTTATACAATATATTAATTTGTATTTTTAGCACTTTTCCAAAAATTTTTTTGAAAAAAGTGCTTATTAGTTTCACTCTGTCCGTCCGTCCGTCCGTCCGTCCGTGGACACTTTTTTTGTTTACAAAACTTCTACACCCTTGATGATAGAAAGCTGAAATTTCATACGTACATAGATCTTCACTAGAAACTTATTTCCGTAGAACAAAATTTTTACCTATCTCCCCCCCGCTAGAAGTTATACCCCCCCAAAACCCTAAAAATGGCCTTTTTTAAATATTTGTTGCAATGAAACCATAAGCATTTTTGAAATTTTGCAAACGCAGAAAGACAGTGGCTTGCTTCCCCTAGCGTGATATACTATAGTTAAACTTTAGAAAAACAAAATGGCCGTTCAAATTTACCGTTATTTAAAGTCCTTTTTTTCCAAATTTTTGATGTAGTTTTTCTTCTAGACCCCAGACTGTAGAAGCTTGAAATTTTAGGAGCTTTTAGATATTAATAAATAGTTCATTTTGTTAGAAGAAAATTTTTTTCCATCTTCACCCTCTCTCAAGTTATCACCTCTTGAAATTCGTAAAATTTGAATTTTTGACACCTTATATTTCCGAAACCGCAAGCTTTTCTAAATTTTTATAAACTCAAAAGGCTAACGGTAAATTCCATGAAATTAAAAAATATAATTATTTTTCTTAACTCACACAATTGACCCTTAAAATCGAGCATTATGTTAACCCCTTTTTATATTAATTTTTGCTTTTTTTCAAAGACTATGCATATATGCGTCATCCTAAATATATGCAATCCTAGAACTAGTTTTGTGTATGAATGAAAATAATTTTTATAGTGTGATAGGTATACATAGAGTGTTTTTAAAAGCAGAATTTTCACTTGTTGAAGGGAAAAGTGCTACAATACAAAAAAATGGTTTGACCCAACTTTATTTATTTATAATATGAGATTTTTTTTTGTAATTTAAACCTAAAACTTAGGTTACTTAATTAGCAATTTTTCCAACTTAATAAATTTTCACTTAAAACCACAGAAATTTAAGTTCAAATAATTTTCAAAACTCTATTTATGGAAGAATATTTGTTAGCGCAACAATCTGACACTGATACATTATTATGTATGTGGAAAAAGCAACATACATTTACATGAACAAAACTATAAAACTAAAATATAATCGCTTAACATGTAGTCCTAAAATGCTGATTTCCTAAATAATATTTTTAGTAAAATATCCTAATAACCTTTTTGAAATGGAAAAAGGGAGCGAGGGTGGTGGTTGTGGATTGTAGAGATATACTCATTTTCCAGCTACAACCTGTTTAAAAAAAAAGGTACCGGATTTTTCTGGAATCTTGTGGCATGGAGTAACCATTGGAAGTTTGTTTAACAGGCGATTTATTTTTCTTTCTTTTTGGGTCTTACAATGAATTTGATTTAAGCTGTCTCATAACACGTACATGTTTCGTGTTAAAAAACAATACTATAATACCTATAGCCAATTTTTAATTAAACAACAATTTTCCCTATAATAATTTTCAGAAAAATTACACTAGAAACCAATATTGTAACAGAACCTTAGCCTCTACCCATGCCACAAAAAAATTATGATAACATAAATAAAAAGATTTTCATCTTATTTTTAAAATTATCTATACTTAAACATTTTGAAGATAGAAAAAAGAAAATAAGATTTTAATAATTTAAGGAAGCTTAAGGATATTGCGTTAATTTTAATATTTTAATAATGCATACACGATTTCAGTAAAAGAAGAACAACGTCTAATATTTTTTCAAACCTATAAGATTTTCATACTTAATAAGTAGAAAGTTATGTGTAGTTCACAAACCATTCATAGTAATTTAAGTACATAGTTACTTTGCACGAAAATCTACCAATGTCATTAGTTTTAACTTTACTTTAAAAACACTCAATATTACGCGCGTTATTACAACAATTTTTTTTCTTGTTATCCTTAAAGCGTTTCACTTTTATAAAATAAACAATTTTCATTGTTTTGCACTTAATTTAATGAAAATCAAAAGTAGAAAAATATATTTAGCATTATGTATTTGCATAATATATGTAGTGGCACCCTTTTTAAACCTAGAGAAGCTCGAAAATTTTAATATTTAGGTAAGTAAATTCACGTACCTACATACCGACTAAATATAAATATGTGCAAAACATAGCAATACAAGTGTTATAACAATTCAACATAAACTACTATCATAGGAAAAAAAGTACTGCATAAGAAAACCGCAAGTTGAATACATTAAGAAATAAAATAAAAAATAAGAGTTCGAGTAAACAGGATAATAATTAAAAATATAACACTAATATATTATATTTAGATTGCATTATATAACTGTAAATATATGCGCATATATTAAACTTTTAAAGGCTATACGACCAATATTAAATGAAATTTGGGGTTGAAGAAAATTTTTATATGTATTATCAAAACGGTATCCGAAACTATTTAATTAATTATTATTACCTTTCTAATGCTTTATATCCACAAAGAACATTCTCCGTCATGTCATTCTGCTGCTGAACAGTCGCCACTACACTCAGATTTTTCCGATTCAAAAGCCTGTTGTTTGTCTGTAAGCAAAATTGATTTAAGGAACTGAAATAGTATTCTATAATTTTTAACAAGTTGCTATTGTTCGTCTTATGTAATAATCAGTAATAGTGCGTTTTTCTAGCTTTGATACCAAACTCCACCACATTGTTATTAATGCATACCTACAAATAGATATCTAAAATCAATGACGAATCATAAAAGTGCTTAATATACCGCGATAATAAATTTTAAGATTACATGTGCTATGACAACAGTACATACATAGTTTGTTTTCATGTTTCCGCAATAAATCCTCTGTTTCTGTAATTACAGTTTGATATTTTTTCTTGTTAAAGGGAACTCTTTGTACAAAAGGTTTTTCACAATACCGAAATGTATATTAAATTTTATCAGTTAAACTCTTTACTAATAAGGGTTAATGTTTATACACCTTTAATATCGTATAATATCAATCGGCTATATTTTCTGAAAATATTTTAAAGTGAAAGTACGATGTCGGATATATGGAAAAAAATTAAACAAATTAACTTACCCAAAGACGATTTTAGACGAAATAATACGACAAGCCGCAGACATGTCAGAGCTAGACACTTTTAAAAAATTTACCACATTTTGAAACAATTTTATAGGTGTTACGCATTTAGTATGCTTTTCTGGCATAATCTTCTTCTTCTATCTACATCTACATAATATGTACGAGTATATTCTATATGTAAATATGTATATTATGTATTAAAAATCAATGGATGTGTTACCCTTTGTTATTTATGCACCACCAACTTTATTGATCCGATTACCATAAAAATGTGGTAATTTGCTTAAAAAACTCTCGTGACTTTCATGCCAGTTGGTCCTGCATATTATACACATACATCTTGGTTATATGTATATTTATAATGTAAGCTTATCATTCAAAACGGTCATGCATATTGGTAATGCATATTGGTCATGCGTGTTGCTCATGCATGTTGGTCATGCATGTTGGTCATGCATGTTGGTTATGCAAGTGGTCATTCACGTTGGTCATGCAAGTTGGTCATGCATGTTGGTCATGCAAGTTGGTCATGCATGTTAATCTTGCATGTTGGTCATGAATGTTGGTCATGCATGTTAGTCATGCAAGTTAGTCATACCGTTTGGTTACACTAACTACTCAAGCATGTTGATCATGCAAGTTGGTTACGCCGTTTAGTCACACAAGTCGTTCATGCTTTTTGGTTATTAGATATACCGATTAGTTATGCAGCTTACACACGCCTTACATGCCATTTTCATATCCACGACATGCCATTTTTACCGACCGTATTGTGTCAACAATAGGTAGGTTATGTGATGGCAACAAATTTTGCATATCGAGTTTTCGGTGGGAATGCACTTCTCCATAGTAGGGAAGTGTAAGTAAACTATTTTTAGCAACCTGTCGATCCGTCGATCTGTCGGTCTGTCGGTCTGTCGGTCTATCGGTCTGTCGGTCTGTGTGTGCACGCGTATATCTCAAGTTCTGCTGAACCGATTTTGATGAAATTTTATATGTAAGTTTATTTCCACCATGGCACGGATCGATCAACTTTTGGTATATATCAGGCCTCGGGAACTGCACTTTTTAGCGGGCCTGTTTTACATTTTTGAACATTTCGAAGAAAGTATTCAACCGATTTACTTGAAATTTCATATAAAAGCTCTTCTCGACCGTCCGCAAAAATTTCTAACTTTTGGAAGAAATCAGGCCTCAGCAACTGGACGTTTACTACGGGCCAAATATACATTTTTACGTATATAAAGGGATATAATTGACCGATTTCATTGACATTTAATACTTGGATTACTCGTATTAAAACAATGAACATATAAATTTTTTGGAAAGATAAGGGCTCGAAAACTGATCTGCGGGCCGATTTTACGTTTTTCACCATATCTACGGAACGAATTGATGGAATTTCTTGAAATTTAATATTTGAGTTCTGGGTAACTGGCGAGCATTTCTGGGAATTCGGGTAGCACAAAGCAAAACTCTACTAAGAGCCAAATTTACATATTTCTAGGTATGTTAATTATAAGCTTACTAATGTCCTAAAAGCTGGAAAGAAGTATTTAACAGACATTTTTATAATATTCTGTAACCCTTTCACTTAACTAGACAATATACAATGCGGTCGGTTATGTGCTGACCACATCAGATTTTTTTTAAAGTGGAATGTACATTTGGAAAGTCATGCTCCTATTTTTCATAACTAACGCATCGGAAAATCTCAAAAAAACTCAATATTTTCTTACAAGGACATTTTTTTAAAATTTATTAACCTTAAGTTTGGTTGAGTGTGCATTTTAAAAATATGTGCGGCAAATAACAAATAAAAAATTAGCAAATAAAAAATTTAATAATCTTTTCAAGAGACTTGTAGTCTATTGAACATATTTTCCATAATTATTACTAAATAATTGCAAAAAAACAATAAAAGCAAACAGAGATTTTTTTTTTAAATTATTTGTGACTAAAACTAATTTAACAACAATTTCATCAGATCTTATTTGAGACGGAATTTTTTTGTTTAAAATTAAAAAAGTTTTAATGGAAAAATAAATTTTAAAAGAGATTTGTTATGTCGATTATCACTGATCTTTAATTTATGAATTTAAAAAAAAAAATAATTTTTTTCCATTTAATTTTTAATTGTATCACGCAAATTCTTTTAAAAACTTTAAATATTAAAAACAGTAACAACAGTAAATAAGATAATTATCAAGAAAACAAGGAAAAGCAAAATAAACAAAAAAAAGGAAACAAAATAATAAAAATGTCTTAACAACTATGAAAATTTTTTCCTTTAATAAAAGTAAATAAAAAACTTATTAAAAATTTTTTTTTTAATTGCAATAAAAAACAAGAAAAGCAGATTTAAATTATAAACAATTGGCTATATTATAGAGAAACCTTGGGGTTCCTGTCCACTTTAGGGTAAATAAACAACTATACAATATATCTGGCGAACGCTACACAAAATTATTGGAACCAAAGTGAAATCCAATTGGATTTTACTGAGTTCCTATAAATTTTACTTGAAAATTTTATTTTAAGTTTTGGTTCCCACTTATAACTCCTACTTTTTCGAATTTTACGAATTACTTCGTATACAAACAGGGTGTTTGAGCATTTTTTTTATTTCTATTGTCTTTGCTAGGCAGTATTTCAGTGTTTTTATTTCAAAGAATTTTTCAACAAAAGTTGGATTTGAAAAAATTTTCTCACCAATTTCAAATACAATAAAAAGAAAAGTGTTGTATATAGTGAAAGGAAGAGAAACTCTTAAAATTTTATTTTGTACGGTCTTCCTTTTGTATTTTTTACGATTTTGTCTCAATGTTACGGTAAGGATTACAGTGCTTAGCCTCAACACCTCATATTTGCAGTATTAATGAGTTAATAAAAATCTACAGTGAAATTTACGCATTTCAATCGTTCGAAATGTAAAAATAAATTTATAATAACCGTTAATTGTTATATATTTGCATAAAAGACGTATATAAAAAGAAGAAAATAGTTGAATATAAAATGTGGAAATTGTTGGATAAAAAAGAAATTACAACTTTGTTAAAACAGATAAGTTGATAATGAATCATAATTACTGCATTTAAAATGAAAATGTTTTTTAAAAAAGATAATTAAATTACTTTTAACCAACAAGAAATTTTGTTATACAAAATAAAGGAATATTAATGCACTCAATGAGTACACGGCAAAGAGCAACTAGTATGCATATTGTGCAATATTAGTCGATTTTAGTTTCAATGGAATGTCCGTTTCGTTAATCTCTAGCGATTTTCAAACATTAGAAAACATTTGCATAAAAAGAATGATTGGCGGTACTCTCTCTTATTTTACTTTAATATTCTTTCTGCCATATATTATTGAAAAAAGCGATCCAATAACCAGCAAACCCAATAATTTTATTTCACTAAATTTTAATTTGCATTATTCAAAATTCAACTATTCCACTCCATACCCACACATTAAATTACAAACTAATGTTGTTGTTTATTTTTAATCAATGCATTTAGGTCAAAAAGTTTTCTTTATTTTCATCATGTTATAAATGCGACATTATAAGAGTTTAAGCGCCTTCTAACAAAATATATCACTACTGTACACCATAAAATAAAAATATTACGTGACATTTAAGTTTGTTTTTTTTTCTTCCTCTTTCGCTTTATTATCCCGCACATTAAAATGATATTAACATAGTGTTCGCGACATCTTGTTCCGGTCGAAGTTTCAGTATATACAAGGAAATTTTAATTATATTGTATAGCGTATTTTTCATAGAATATACTAGTATGAATATTTAAGCTATACATAAGTATATTTTTATAGTGAGACTATTTTTTTATATTACTGCCTTAAATGGATATTTTTTTTTTACATTTTCTATAGATTTATTCTAAAGATTAAGAATGAGACATTATAGAATATAATTTACATAATAATATTTAAGAATTGAGAATTAAATAAGGATTTTCAGTATAATAAATAAAATTCCTTAAATATATTGATATACACTTAATAGCTTAAACTATAGGAAATTCTTTTAAATAAGCATAAAGAAATACTATTATTAAATTATGTATACCCGAAATGTATAACTGAGTAATTATCGTGGTTTAATTAACCGGTCATTTCCATAAGAAATGAGGATTTCGTTAATATTAATGACCTAATTTTGCAAGCATTAATTTCCAGGTATATTGCAAACATTAAGGCATAAGTGTAGATTATTATTATCGAAAAATATGAGACCAGTGCAATTATCATATCACTTCGTCGTATCACTTAAAAAAGTAGAGAGTTTTAGCTTCTTCTGAAAGACTTACCCGAGTTCCTAATTGTTAAAATAAATAGTTTAGCTCACCAACTTCCTGAAAATAATATTCAAAAAGTGAGATGCCAAGTTCATCTGGAAAAATTTGAGTTCTGGCGTCTTTTCAAATATTTTATCTTAGAATAGATGAGTTCATCTAATCAATTAAGCACAAAATAACCATTATTTGGAAATAATTTTTTTTTACAGCTCCTTATTACCTCTAGTATTTAAAAAAAATAAAAACACACTTTTAATATTTCACTATTAAGATAGTGAACAGAAATTTTAAATTTATTCATGCATTCCAAAAATATTCTTATCGTTAACAATTTGAGTCCTTTTCTATAAGTCTTTTATAATTATACCCCTAAAAATATGCAATTTTCATTATTTTTTCTTAATCACAAATTCTTTGAATCAATTTTTAAACACACACTTAATCCATTTTTAAGAACACTAGATGTTCACTATTGATTTCATTTTAAATTCTTTATATAGAATGATTGGTTCAAAAAGTCATTTTAACCCTATTGAGGTTACAGTGTTGTTGGATAATTGAATTCCGTCATGTTATTAAGTTCACATACAAATCAAATTACTTTTTTAATGATCACATATACTGCACTTATATATTAATTTCTTATATTTTCTACTAGTATGCAATATTATTAGGAAAAATTCTATTATTTCATTTCTTAATTCTTTAAAGCGTCAATATATGAAGTAATTCTAAAAATTTGACATCCTATATGTTAAATATGTATAAGCTTCTGATATATTGTAAAATACAAATTAAATCAATTGAGAATTTCAATGCATTTTTTCTTTGATTCGAATAGAGCAACTTAGAAATCTATATAGGCATACTTATATAAGCTAGATGAATAGATAATACAGCACCAAATATATTATGTAAGTATTAAAAAAGAATTTTCTTTTATTTTCTCTTATATACTCGTACAGTTCTAATTGGATTTTATTTTACCGTGTCACTTTAAATTGTATCGATTTACTATTATTATATAAGTGGAAAAAAGAAAGTAAGTACATTACAATGATGTAGCTTAGAACTTTAGACATAGTTTCAATGTAACCAATATTTTTAACGTATACAGAGATTTGTTAAAGTAAAGAACTAAATGAAAAGGAAGGCAAGTAGTATATAGGCATCAGGTCAATAATCAGATTAATTTAATATTATATGGGGAAGTCTTTGCCCTATAACAATTTAGTTGTTGAAAGTAAATCACATA